GAGAAATGCTTAGGTGTTCAAATGTGGGAATTATAGAAAACACAATCTAGGGAGACAGAGCTGAAGTACAATCAAATCTAAGATGCCCAATTATACCCACTGGTTTTCACACTGATATGTGATGATCCCCCTTCTTGAGCTTGGGTGAGATCTGTGACTTGCTTCTCACTGGCAGAATTCAGCAAACACGATAGATTGCCACTTCTGTAGTGATATTACAAAAGACTGCCACCACCACCCCCTTGCCAGTGGATTCTCTCTAATAATGATCTCCCTTGTTGACTTTGATGCTAGCAGCCATATGGAAAGGTCCAGTAGTTAGACCGGAAGGTGACCTCGGGCCAAAAGCCAGGAAGGAACTAAGGCCTTTAGTCCAAGAACAGTCAAGGAACTGAATTCTGCCCACAACCACATGAGCTTGGAAGAAGTTCTTTTCCCTGTCAATCCTCAGATGAGACTCGAAACCTGGATAACACCTTGACGTCAGTCAAAAGAGAGCTTGAGGCCAAACACCCAAATAAGCCACGCTAGATCCCTGACTCAAAGAATATTGAAGATAATGCATGTGTCTTGCCATTGAATTTATGATAACATCGTTACCTAGCAACTGATAATACAGACCTGCATAATAGAGATATGCATAGAAGTAGACTCCAATTTCAAGGCAACAGAGAAAAAGTTGTTGTTGTTGTTGGGTCCCCTAGCCACCTTATACACAACAGAAGGAAACACTGTCCAGTCCTGCAACATTCTCACCATTGTTCCTAGGCCTGAGCCCATTGTGGCAGCCACGGTGTCAACCCATATCCTGGAAGCCCTTTGTCTTTTTTGCTGTCCCTCCACTCTATCAAACATGATGTCCTTCTCCAGGGACTAGTCTCTCCTGACAATATGTCCAAAGTATGTAAGGTGAAGTCTTGTCATCCTTGCCTCTAAGGAGCACTCTAGCCTTACTTCTTCCAATATCGATTGGTCGTTTTAGCAGTCCATGGTACTTTCAGTATTCTTTTTCAACACCACAATTCAAATGCAGCAATTCTTCTTCGGTCCTCCTTATTCAATATCCAACTTTCATATGCTTTATGAGGCAATAGAAAATACCATGGCTTGGGTCAGGCACACCTTAGTTCACAAAGTAACATCCTTGCTCTTCAATGTTCTACAGAGGTCTTGGGCAGAAGATTTACCTACATGTCTTTTGATCTCGAGTGTTGCTTCCATTGACACTAATTGCGGATCCAAGCAAGAAAAAAGCCTTGACTTCTTCTCCATGTATCATGATATTGCCTACATGACGGTCCAGTTGTGAGGAGTTTAGTCTTCTTTACACTGAGTCTCAATCCATACTGAAGGCCGAATCTCCTTGATCTTCATCAGAAAGTGCTTTAAGTCTTCCTCACTTTCAGTATGCAAGATTGTGCCATCTGCTTATCTCGGGTTGTTAATAAGGTTTTCTTCAATCCTGCTGCCATATTCTTCATGTGACCTAGCTTCTCTGATGAGTTTCTCAACATAAGATTGAACAAGTATGGTGAGAGGCCACAATTCTGATGCACACCTTTCCCGATTCTACGCCATGCATCATTCCCTTGTCCTGTTCGCACAATGAAGTGTTCTGGAGGCAGAATTCTTCTCAAGGTATCCAGAGTGTATTATGGCTCACACAGGGTAGGGAACGTCACAGAGCCAAAGTAAAAGAAGCTCACCAATTAGATTTGAAGTATTTCAAAAATGATTAGTTACACATTGCACCACCAAGTTTCCCATAACAGGTATTTCTATCTTCAGACTCCGTCATTTACTTCGTACAACATATATTACAGAAGCCAATGGGCTTACCTATTCGGTAAACATTTAATAGTGCCTGTTATGTACTGACTTGATGGCCTGAGAGTTTGAGTTATATTCTAGGTACTGAGGACCCAGCACTGAACAAAACAGAACTCACCTCTTCGCTTATGGAACTTGGAGGTACCGATTTAACAAATCATCACAAAGTAAATGAATGTATAATGACACATATTAAAGCACCCAATGAGATCATATGTTAAAATAGCTCACTTGAACGTGTGAGCACTTATACTGAGATGTGAAAGATAAGCACAATCTAACCGTGTGAAGACTGGGAGGGATTTTTTTGTGTCTGTTACAGGAAACAATACTCATAAAGGCAAGACAGAGTTAGCTGCATAAGATCCCAGAGAAGTCATTCGCTGACTCGTTCAACAAAAGCGTCTGCAGGTCCATAGGCGGTACCAGAAGCTATGCTAGGTGTTGGGGATCAAGGATAGGAAAAGGAGACCAAGAACAGCGAGGTCACAGCATAAATACAACAGGTAAAGAGATCGCCAGTAGCCTTGGCAGGGCCTGGAGCGCATAATGAAGTCAATGATGAGGAAGCAGGGGCCAGAGTTGGAAACCAACGCACCTGACTCCTTCAACTCTGAATATTAGAGATTTACCAAAGTAAGGTATGTTCAACAAATCTGTCATTTACGGACAGAAAGACTAGGGTCAGAAGTAAAAAGCTTCTAGCACACAGCAGGTGAAGTAGCGATCACAAATTATCCTTAAACATGGCTTCATGGACTAAACAGCAGCTACATTTGGGAAACTGTCTTCTCTAAAGAATGATTCTATGTTAAACAAAACATTTCAGGAAAAAGTGATCCCTGTTCGGAATAAGCAGCCTCTCTTTGCAAGAGGTTTAAATGTCAATGAAATAATCCAAGGATTTGAAATCTGCTTCATGGAAATTCAAAGTTACCAAATGAAATACCATAAGATTAAATGCAAAGAGTAACACACAAATCTTACAGTAAGAAACCCTTAGAGCAGTGGTTCTCAACCTTCCTGAAGCCGTGACCCTTTAATACAGTTCATGTTGGGATGAGCCCCAACCATAAAATTATTTTCGTTGCTACATCATAACTGTAATTTTGCTACTGTTATGAATCGGGTGACCCCTGTGAAAGGGTTGTTCAACCCCCAAAGGGGTCTCAACCCACAGATTGAGAACCGCTGAGTCATCAGTATGTTATGAAGGATGCCATAAAAATGATTACTGCTTCAGGTGAGCCAGGAACCTGAGAGGCAAGGCCTTTTCCTCTTATGGCGCCAATTATCTAAGTGATGACATATATGGTTGATAGGTGGCACTAAAGGGTTAACATCAATAAGTGATAGCATGGATGTTACCTACACACACACACACACACACACACACACACACACACACACACACCAACTGTGGAATTTCTCTAAACTATTTTGCAACTTCTATATCAATCAAAAATAATTTTAAAATAAAAATTTAAAGCACATACACAAAAACAAAATGACATGGGTACTCTTGACACATGAAGCAACAAATGCCGAAAATTCATACTGACTTCATGAAAGAAGCAAAAAGAAGAGTGAAAGAAAGAACCAGTTCTCTAAATTACTCCCCGAGACTCTGGTTTTCACTGCTGTCCCGGGCTGCAGGCACAGGCCGAGAGAAAAGCTCAAAGCTCATTGTCTGCACTGGCTCGTGCACTGCCCACCAGTCATGCAGCTCTCCTCGCCTCTGCTGCATCGACCTCACAGTGGGATCACAGGCTGGTTTGCCGTGGCCTACTATACAAACATCCGTTACCATCATCTAAATCCTATTTGGCTAAATGGCATTATCGTACCATCAAAGAATGGACTATCTTTGAGAACCAGTAAACTATTACAATGTCTGCAAGAAATGGCTTTTTTAATTTCTGCAAGTGTCTGGAATTACCAAATAGGTTCCCAGTTTCACTTACTCCTTGACATTGAGTCCATTCTCACAACAACCCTATAAAACAGGGTAAAACAGCCCCGGTGGGCTGCAGAGAGTGTAACTCTCTCTCGTTTTGGTTTCTGTTTTTTTTTGTAGTCTATGGCACTTTGTTTACTTATCTATTTTTTAAAAATCATTTTATTGGGGGCTCGTACAACTCTTAACACAATCCATCCATCCACTGAGACTGCGACTCTTCACAGGAGCAGAAACCCTCATCATTCTGACATGGAGCGGCGGGTGGTTTTGAACTGCTGACCTTGTGTCACCCACTATGCCACCAGTATGCCTCTAATTCCCAGCAGAGTCCCAGATTTAACCAACAGATTTACATAACAAATTGTTACGGCATATTTACTTGTTTGAACATATTTCGTAATAGAATGATAAAACAAGTTTTTTTAAAGTCTTTTCTTAGAAAGTACATTAATTTAATCAATTAACGTGCTACCTTATAATTCACTTTGTCAATTCTGAAGGCTTAAGCTAGACACTTGAAATATCTAATAAGTTTCATGGGGCATAAATATAGTAGCAATCATACAATATATGTGCTAGATGAAATATCTTTTCCTCAAGGCGTTTAAAAATAAAATAGCTCTCTTGAAGAAAAAGAGGCAATTAAGTCAAGAATTTAAAGAAATACAAAAGATAAACAATGAAAACCCAAAATAAATTTAAAAATCAAATGAAAGTTCTCTCTGACAAAATTGGAAATTGGTGTACACTTATCAATGTTGTATCACAAAATGCTTCCTTATAACTTGGATATTTCAAAATCCATTATCATCTTTGTCTCCCATCAAGTATAATCTTTTTTTTTTTTAACAAGTATAACCTTAAGGAAGAAAAATATTACATTATTAGCTGGGGTAAAACTTAGTGTACAACCTAGAAGCCAATAAGACAACAGAGAACCAGGGTAACACTTTCACATCAAGCCTTTATCTAATAAAGACTCAAGTCAACCCATTGTAACCTGGCAGCTAACACTGTGTCTTGGAAAATGTATTTGTAGATCCTCTGAAACAGGAGTGATTCAAGTCTATGGCTTAAGAAAAGGAAAACAAAATCAATAACACCAAGAAGAGTCGCACAAAAATATTCTTTATAGTAATAACAAAAGTAGGATTTTCTCTGTGACCCTTCAGCATTAGTGCTCATCATCCAGTAAGACTTGTCTACTCACTTCCGGTGGGTGTGGTCCATGCCACTGTTTGGTATTGCTTCCAACTTTGCATTTTTCTGCCCACAGATATTTCCATAGCTGTCGTATCCTGACACCAGTCTTGCTGCTGCACCTGTGGCTACTGAAAAGCCACAAATAAATCCCTAGGAAAGAGCAGGAAAAAAAATACACACAAATAAACCTTTTCAATAACAAGAGTCACTACTTGATACGATAATGAGCTTCTTTTGTCTGTTCAAGGGAACAAAGAGCTATCTTTCCTGATTGCAAACACTAGTCCACTGTTTTCCTTGGGTTTCACATAAAGCAGCACAAAGAAGTCCATGGGGAAATACTATTTACTACCATCACAAAACAAATCTCAAGCTTTGACATCATGAGATCACCCTAGATTTTATAATAATAACAACAGTTTTTCTGGGTCGAACATCTGCTGTGTGCCAGACTCCGTTCTAGGCACTTAGCATCCATTTTAGCGAATCTTCCAATGAAGAAACTGAGGCCCAGATAGGTTAAGTAAGTTGCCTATAACTAGACCAACTAGTAATGATCAGAGTCAAACCCTTTTATTTGGCTGCAAAGGGGTTCTGTTAATAGCACAACAGCAAAGGAAGTAGGGGGTGGGTGGGAATAAGAGGTATGTGGACTTAAAATCATTATCATTTCAGTGCACACAACACTTCTGCTTCCTTCCTGCAGTAAAGCTGTACACAAGTCAAAGAATTACACCATGAAGCACCGTCAGGCTCTTGGAATTGTAGGCTCACAGAGAATGAGGCACTGGCTCTGTGTATTGGAAAGGTCACTTCATTTCATGGGAATATGCTTCATCACAGTGCCAACGGCAAACTGTAGGTGCTTGGGTACCACGCCATATTTGTTAAGTCAACTATGCCCTGATGCAAACAAAGCAATAGGACCCTCCCTTACACAGGCTCCTGGCAAAAGACCAGAAAGTAAGGTGAATCACTGTTGGTCAGTTTACTGTATTTGAGGAATAGACTAGTGTTAAGACATATTCTTGCAAGCTATTCATTAAGAGGCTGAATTTCTGGTCATCTTTATGAAAGTATCTAATAAAAGCAGAGATCCTCACTGTTCAATTCTTTTTCCTCCTTTTTTTTTCTGGCCTGTTCAATTCTTTATAGCCAAGTATCATGAGTAGTACTTAGGTAAGTAACTGCTAGATCTCAGGCAATAGTACTAAATACTTCTTCAGAGAAAAGTATTTCCCCCTTCGATATACTTACCTAAATAAACAGCCATAGACAATATATGTGAATGAGAATGGTTATGTTCCAATCAAAGTTTATTTACAAAAATAGGCAGAGGGCCTGCAGGCGATAGTTTTCTGGCCTCTGTTTTAAACAGTTGTTCTTAAAATGTTAAGATCCTTGAAGGCACAATAGGCTGAGCGCTGCTCACTGAATGAACAGTGGTTCAAACTCAGGAAGATGAGACCATCTGCTTCCGTAAAGATGAACAGCCTTGGAAGCGCTGTGGCGGAGTTCTACTCGGTTCCATTGGGTCCCTGGGAGTCAACTTGTCGGCAGTGGATTTTGTTTTGGGGGAGGCAACAGTTTGAACTCACCAGTCACTCCAAAATAGAAAGATGTGGCAGTCTACTTCTATAAAATTACAGCCCTGGAAGCTCTCTCACCAAAACTCACTGCCACCAAGTCAATTCAATCCATGGCGACTTCACAGGAGAGAGCAGCACTGTTCCGCAGGGTTGCTGAGACTGCCAATCTTCACACGTGTAGGCAGCCTCCTCTTTCTCCTAAATAGTGGCTGGTGGATTTGAACCAACAGGCCCACAGTTAGCAGCCCAGCACTTAATCTACTGCACAACCATGTCTCCTGGAAACCCTGTAGGGCAGTTCTACTCTGTTCTCTAGAGTCAACTGTGAATCCGAATCACCTTGACAGCAATCTTTCTTTCCTTCTTTTTCAAAAATAAGCAAGTAGTTCTAAGGAATCGTCCCCTCTAGTTTTGTTGTACAGGTAGAGGGGATGAGAGGAAAGAGTAGAGACAGAAACCTAGCAAGCAGAAATTTCCTGAAGTTCCACTTGGTAAGAAAGTGGGCTCCCTGATTCCCTGCTCGCTTGCTCTCTGATTCTGACCAAGTTAGTTCAACTCTCTGTGCCTCGGTTTACTCATCTATAAGATGCAGAAAATGAGTAAAAGGCTCCTAAGGTTGTTGTAAGAATTAAATAATCCAGTAAAGTGGAAAGAATTATGCTTAGTAGCTGCTAAGAACCCAATAAATATTAGCTATTGTTCTTGTTGTTGTTAGAGATGAGAAAGGGTTATAAGGGAAAGAACCTGAGCTTTAGGGTCAGATAAACCTGTGTTGATCAACAGACTACTGATCATTCCATTTTAAACTTGTGTGACCTTGGACAAACTTTAATTCTCTGAGCTTCAGTTTACCCATCTATAAATTGGGGCTAAAACTACTGACCACAAGGGCTGTTTTGAGAATTACATGAGGCAATACATGTAAAGTGTCTTTCTCAATAAATGCTCATAAATCCTACTTTAAAATAGCAGCTAACTACTAGCACGAGAGATAGGCATTAGCTGGTCAGCACTAACTCCCCCACCCTCACCCAGTTACCCCTCTCCCCCGCCTTCTGGCTCCTCCCAAAGAGACCAGTGTGCACGAAGAGAGGAGAAAAAAACAAAAACATTTAACCCCCATGTGTGAGGGGACGTTCAAAGGGTTTGGCAAAAATTCCAGTATCTTTCCATTGTTTCTCGGCAAACTTTTTGAAGCTCACTAGCATATATCCATGCATGCTAATCAGCATGCCATTCTAGGCAGAACCTGGAAGCCCAACGAGGAAACCCCAGCCACCTTGACCAAGAGGCTCCATGGTACTGTGGCCACGGTCTCACCTGACAAAGGAAAGGTTCATAGTTTGAAGCTGACCACTCCTGCGGAAAGCTACCACAGTCAACTTCAGTAATGTGCACAGCCTTGAAGACCTTCCGAGGCAATTTTACTCTGTCCTAAGGGTCACGGTGACTTGCATTCGACTCCTCCGTTCAGAGTTTCACATTGAGCAGGAACAAAAAGTGTATGGAAACTACTGAGGCGTAAAGGCTCGTCTTTCTTTCCGGTTTCTTTTCTTTTTTCTTTTATTAACATGAAGCATCCCAAAGCACTAGAAAGGGAATTGGCTTGGTCTTCAGAATGACCTGGCTTCCCACCCTCACTCTCACGCTGAACTAACTGTGTGACTCTGATCCAATGGCCGCTTCATCCTGACCCAGAGGCTGCCCTCGACTTCACAGCCTCAGGAGGAACACTAAGCGAGAGGAGGCCCATCCAGTCCCGAGCCGAGTGTCTGGCACAGGGCAGGTGATCAGTAGGCTGTAGCTGGTAGTGGTAAACTCAAAGAGCAAAGTCAGACAGGGGAGTATCACAATGGTGACTGGGGATGAACCAAACACACCTTCAGCTCTCCATTTCTGGATAAAAGGAAAACCGAGGAGAAACAAGCGAGCGTTTGTTGTAACTTTGTGATGATAAAAAAGCTATCTTGCGACCTCAATTACAATCTTGTTTTACTAGCAGTCAAAAATAGCAAAGCCCGGTGTAATTGAAAGGTTATTTTCCTCCTTCGCGTTTCACAGGATTTTCTATGTTTGATGAGCGTTTTGTATACAGATTCCGTACAATGGTTTCCAGCTTCCCCTTCTGACTATTTTTAAGAGGGATGTTGGACATGTGGGTTTTTTATCATCAGACACCTCACATCCGTCTGGGATGGATGCAGAGTACAAATGATCACTGTCAAGCATATGGGCTAAAATAGGGCACTGACATATTAGAGCGGTGAGAAGCTTGTGGGCTGGGGGAGCTAACACGATGGGAAGAACCATAGCTGTTATGCCAGGGACTTCCCATGTGGCACGAGGACTGACGGGGGGATCTGGCCAAATATCAGTAAAAATAAAATCTCCTTAAAAAGAAAACGTCTCTGAAGCAAATGCAAGTAGCAGCAGAGTTTCAGATGTGAACCATGAAAGGAGGAGGCAGAGTTCACAGAGTATGCTCAGTAATTTAATGATTCCACAGAGAAGGGGGAAAGCATTGGGTGGAAGGAATCACTTTAATGAGCAAATGATGGGGAAGAAAACTGTTGTAAGTGTATAGCAGGAATCCATCACTTGAGAGAAAGCAAGGAAGAGAATGATGGCTAGAATCTTAGCATGACTGAGCTATGGACTTTTTTTCTTCTTTTGTTCAGAACAGCTATATTGAGAGAGAGAAGAGCAGACATATCTAATCACAAAAAGGAAGTGGCTCAAGTCAGGTTGAAAGGCAGATAGGAATCAAAGCCAAGGCGTGGCAACTAATAGATATTTAGTGACTATTTGGAGAAAAAATTGGCTAATTAATAAGCTGGGCTCACCTTTCCATCATATAACAAGGTTTAGTTCTGTGGAAGTAAGAGCTTTCATTGGTTTCATTCACTACTAGTCAAAAAGGGAGCATGCTTTCATTTCATAAGCATGCTCGAACTTCGCATCTGTATTATTTACTAAGCAATCTGAATAAGGCAGTAGGCCTTTCTTTACTTAAGAAAAAAGGTGGGAGAAACATGGATATGGCAGAAGAGGAGAGGAGAGTGATAGTCTCTTCCAGAAACTCATAAAAACATATTAGTCAATTTCCTGCCCCCAATATGCTATACATCCTTATCTCAATTCATACTTATGGTCAATGTCCTAATAACTCATTTGTAATATCTGGGAGAACCAGGAACAAAGGAAAGTTACTAGGACCCAGTAGACAAGGTAGAATCAGATTGTCTAATACAACATAAGCAATGGACTGGTGTACAACTCATTGTTACAATGTACAGCTAGCTCACTGTTATAATGGTGGACTTATGTACAGCTCATTGTTGGTCACAAACTGACCTCTAAAAAGCCTATTTTATTAAAAATTCAGGGTATACACAGTGGTCCGTAATAACCAGTGGGGACTACCCTGTGACACACCTGAAAACATTATCATTATTATTACTGTATTATCTTGTTTTGTGTATCTTGGAAGTCTGACTTTAATTTTTTTTTAATGCACAGAAAGGTACACTATAAACTAAAACAAGCATCCAACTAACTAAT